GCCTTCCATAAATTATAACACTCGACAAGATTTTCATGATTATCAGACTCCCGGTCCTTGTCTGAAGTGGTCACATTTGTATGACCCCACCCCTGGTGTGACGTTACATACTTTGCAATTTTAAATTTATAAATTGTTAAATTAAAACAATAATTAGGTTTTCGTTAGCATTTTACTCAAAATTGTGACACTCTCAATTTAATATAAAACCCATATAATATTTATAACTTTTTTATACTGCTATTACAATTTGGCTTAGGTATTACAAAGAAATTGATGAGTTTCCAACTGCTACTACTAATATTACGCTAGAAAAGTTGCATAAAAAATAAAGTGGTATTTTTCTCTACTACATATTTAAAAATTTCAACCTACACCGAAGATCCGGGCAATCCAAGCGGGAGGGCGGCTAGTTGGGCGCCCACGTGTACGGTATCGAAGCGTTTTAAAAGCAAACAGAAAGACTGAAAGTTAGTAAATTCTGGAAATTTTTGAAAAATATTTATCTGATCTAATTGGTTCTGATATAACTCGATACTTTGAAATAAATCAGATATTTTTAGCTAGTACCAGATACTATTAAAAGGAAAATTAAAGAATAATAAGGCACCTGGTATAGATGGGATACAGGCGGAAATTTTAAAACATGCAGGACAAAAGGTTAGAGATTGTATGTTTAAGCTATTTAATCACATTTATGAGACGGGGAAAGTCCCGTAGGATTATAAACGGAACGTGCTAGTAACCATACCTAAAAAAAAATTTTAACCAGAATTGTACAGAGAAGGATGGAAAAATTTGAGTTTAGAAGAAATAGAGGAACGCGGGAGGCTATTCTAGCTTTACGGGTAACAATAGAGAAAACAATAGAAAAATAAAAGGGCGCGTACATAGGATTTGTAGATTTAGAAAAAGCTTTTGACAATGTTAAATGGGAAAAGATGTTAAATATACTTAAAAATGTAGGGATGATACTTAGTTACAGGCAGTTGTAGAGCTGTGGTTAGAGAAGTAAATATTAGGAAGGGAGTCAGACAAGGATGCACCTTGACACCATTACTTTTTAATCTACTCATCATCGAAGATAAGATCAGTATGCTTGGATTTGCAGATTATATAGCAGCGTTAGCATCTAGCAAGGAGAATTTGGAGATAGCTTTAAATAAAATGGAAGAGAGAATGTAAAGATAAGAGATGAAAGATTAGAAGAAGTGGTTGATTTTGAGGTACAGTTAGTTAGGACAGAAGGTGTAGTAGGAATATAAAGCAGAGGATAGCGAAGGGTCGAGTAGTCTTCAATAAAAAGAAGTTACTTCTATTCTCGCGTACGATTAATTTAGAAATTCGAAAAAGATTGTGTGTTTCGAGCGCCGCGCTGTACGGGTGCGAAACATAGACGGTGGGCGCTATGGAAAAGAAAAGGTTGGAAGCCTTCCAAAGGTGGTGTTACAGGCGAATGGTAAGGATACCGTGGACAGAGAAGGTTAGAAATGAAGAGATATTAGAATGAATAGGAGAACAGAGGACTCTATGGAAGTCAGTATCAAATAGGCGAGATAGGTTGGTAGGACACCTTCTCAGGCATGAAGGCCTAGTCAGAGACATATTGGAGGCAGAAACGGGAGTTACGAGGAGTAGAGGTAGACCTAGATTAAATTACTGTTTGCAAATAGTTAATAATGTGGGATGTTCTAGTTTTAGGGATATGCGAAGATTAGCTCAGGATAGGAAGGAGTGGAGGTGCGTGTCCAACCAGTCTTAGAATTGACGACTTTATGATGATGACCAGAAACTATTTATCTGTAATAGCCGTTGATGATTTGAATCAGTTGGCTCTTGTACTGGGAAGTTATTCGTTCGGACCTTAACGGTTGCACCAGTTATACGACACATAGAGTCCAAACCTACCCCACGGCAGGTTTATTTTACAAATCGTATCACGATGTTGAAGTTTTTCTATATTTTCGCGTTGTAAGAATCATTCGCTCAAACTGCTGCAATTTTTATAGAAAAAAAAAAATGCTGTCAAAATCGAAGCCCTATTCAATAGCTTCAATTACTGATTCTTTTCACGTCAGTGAAGCGGATCTATTTGCTATAAAATTTGCGAACAGAGTTTCTATACCGGCCATTCATAAATTCGCTCAATCAGCTCGCTTGACAGAATTATCGAAACCAATCGACTATCAGATTTTGGAGTTAATTGAATTTTTAATTGAATACTTTCTTTTTATTTCCTTCCCATATTACAAATGATAAACAAAGTCATTAGAAAATATATCGCGCAATTGGTTATTAAAGGAATTTCCGGAAAGAGTGACCCGCCTGTTTGATATCTCTCACACATTAACTTCAAATATATGTCAAATGAGAATTAATTTTTCTCTAGGTTTCAGGTTAAAATTGTTTTTGATTCTTGTGATAAGTTGGCGCTTTTTGTACGTTTTCTCAATGCGTTATTTTTGAAGTAATCATTACAATTTCGATGTTTTAATTCAAACTGGGTAATTAGGTATTGTATAAGGGTTTTGAGAGTGTTTAATTACGAATGTAGGGTTAAATTTTCAAAATTCAAGGTTGTGAGTTAAAAATGGCAGACACTAAATTCGAATTTACGCTGGAAAGCTAAATTATAGGGCTTGTTTGGTAGCTTATTACGAATCAAGAATTAATTTTTTGGTGTTTTCGAGATGGGGGGCATTAATTTAAATAATTCTGGATTACACCCTTATTATATTCATTCGAATGAATTCATGAGCCGATTACCACGCCTCCTTATAAACCTGATGATTACATTCACCATAAACATGTATATATATAACAGTAGATCTGTTAGTGCGGGCACGTACACTCTGGTACCAAATATATAATATTTCAATTTTTCATTTTAAATTCATAATTACATAATTCTTATTGAAACTGTAAAGAGTACTTCAACAGCAACTTATGAAAAAATGAAGCAAAAGTGGATTAAAGTCTATAATAACCTACCATTATTTGGCATACACTTCAATTAGATCCCTAATAGGGTCACCAAACAAGTGAAAAATAGTATGTTTTTGGGGTCACTCTTTTCTCAATTTTCAGTCCAAGTTAAACCAAAACAGAAAGAGTTGCTAATCTACCTAGAGAGATGCGACATTTCGAACAAATTTTAATTACTTATGTAAATGCACTTCTAGCGCAATTAATGTAATTGGATTATTCAAATTGCTACTTGGCAAGACAAGAAAACCTTATTGCGGTCGTTATGGTAACCTTCTTTCATTAAACTGTTACCACTTATATTAAACCATTTATAAATGCGTTTTACATTTGTTTTAATTCAGGGTGGATCCCATTTATTGTCATAATTAGAGTACATATGGTAGAAACAAAGCTAGAAATATACTGAATAAATCGTATTTTTAGTTTATGCTACGTTTACAAAATGTAATTTCCGTTTATCTGAATTCCTCATGATTTACCTAAATTTTACAAAAATTAAATTCGACTTTTTAAATGCAATAAAGTATGAACATGTGTAAATCAGAGCAGAATAAGGGATTAATAATTTAATATTAAACCAAGTCCGACGTTCCGTCTAGGTTTTTAGGTTTTCTTAAGATAAAAATATATGTAGTTGTAGTTAGATACAGCATTTTTTTATAATATTACTTACATAGGTATGGGCGTTAATATTGTTCATAAGATAAACTGTTGCTGAAAACCTAGGCGAAACGTCGAACTTGGTTTAATAATAAATTATTTACCCTAGACAAAAATTTTCAATCTCTCTCCAGTCTCTCAGACTCTTTCAGCGTCTCTGAGAGAGTCTCTCACAGTCTTTCACAGTCTCTCAGTTATTGCCTAGGTGTTTTTATGGATCTCTCAGTCTCTGTATGAGAGACTCCAACAATTAAAATTGTTAATTCAGAGATTCGAGTCTCTCACAGAGAGACTGAACGAATAAAAGTGAAAAATTGAGAGACTCGAGTCTCTCGTAGAAAGACTGGGTTCTTTGAAATATGTTGAAAATTTTAACTATGTCTATCGAGATACCACTTATTGAGAGATTCGAGTCTCTCGTTCAGAGACCGGATATGAAATGAGGATCTCTGTATGAGCGACTCGAGTCTCTCGTTCAGAGACGCTAAACAGTCTCTCTCAGCGACACCAGAGAGACTCGATGAGAGACGGAGACTCGAGTCTCGTTTTCAGAGACTCTGAGAGACTGAGCATTTTTATCTCGGGTATCCCCTATTGTAGATGATTCAGAACTCTCTTTGTTCAGTTTAACGAATCTTTTTTTCAAAACTTTTAAACGTTCAACATAGCCTCACCATTCACCCGCAGGTAATTTTTGTCGAGACCCTTCACTAACCATTTTTATGATGGTCCGGCAAGTTCGAATTCTCAGTAATAGTTGAATGATTTGTTGCTCTATTTTGTGTCTTTAAGGGCTATTTTTGCTCGTACATTTCGTATAATTCTCTTTTTTTGTTTACCGAAAACCTAAAATGCTTTCCTCTAAAAGCAGTCGTTCATTGTCACTCGCACAAAACAGCATCTCAACAAACATACTCTCCGCGGGATATAATATATTTTGTACGCGTATTTCTTCAACAATTAATTTTATTTTATTGACATAGTGCATTTTTAGAATTATTTAATAAAGTTCAGTGTTATTGTTAGTGAAGAAATAGTGCGTTATTTTTTATCCGTAACAATTTTCAACCTATAAACTATAAACTACCTATAATCACTTAATTGGAATTATAGGCAATTGATAACAACTCAATTCCACACCGAGTTACGTTCATCAATTAACACTCTTTTAAAAAAAGTTTAGACATCTTAATTGTCTATCATAAGTTATTTCAATAGCTACACAAGGAAGAAGACACTGCTTTAATTAGCATCTTCAATCAACACCTGCCAGCCATCTTTCTATGCGATATGAGCCATTTCGTTTTTGTGTGTGTGGAAAATATTACTTTTAATGAAAACAAAAGACTTACCCTGAGCTAAAATTGCTCCAAATTTGGCCATAACGTCTTCGTGTTTGTTGCTGATGACCTGGGAGTAGGTTTGTCGGAAGAAGGATACTTTGGGACACATCTGCTCAGTCTGTTGAATTAGGATCATGGCGGAAGCAATGAGGGCACCCTGACGGACAAAGTTCACCGGATCAAACATAACCATCGGCTCCAAGAGAGCGATGGCTTCGCGAAGCCCGGTTCCAGCGCAGGCGATGCCCAGAGCCATGGCAGCACCGTAACGCACATGGGGATTATAGCTTTCTGCCAAGAGGGACACCACGCTGGGACATTGTTCCGGAGTTCTGAAAAAGTAAAGAAGATTTTTATTCAGTTAGAAGTTAGATGTCACACAACTTTATAAGGGTTCCTTTTTCAATTTTGAGGTACGCAACCCTAAAAATAGGTAAGGATGATATAGAAAAGTAATTATTTTATTAATGTATGTCTACTAGGGTGCTTTAAACAAAATTTTTAATTTTTTTTTCTAATTCTTACCCCCTCAAATGTTTCTATTTGATGTAAAAAAAAATCCGCGCCAAACATGAGCCCTATAGCTCAAAGCTAAGGGGTCGCTATTTTTATTTAAGTTTCCCAATTTAATTAACATAGGAAAATTTCTGTTTTGTTTTAAATTGAATTTACACATAATTTACGCAATTTTTTCCAAATAACCGTTTCATATTCTCAAAGCTGAGTCTTTGAGCTTTACAAAACTCTAAGACAAAGTATGATTATCTTTACAAAAAGACTAGTTACTTTTAAATTGAATTTACACATAATTTACGCAATTTTTTCCAAATAACCGTTTCATATTCTCAAAGCGGAGTCTTTGAGCTTTACAAAACTCTAAGACAAAGTATGATTATCTTTACAAAAAGACTAGTTACAGCCATTTAAAAATTACTAAATTTAGAAATTTGAAAAAATTGCTTGCAATTATTAACTTCCCATTAGGAAGTTATTGTAATTGGGTCGAAAAGTGAAATCGGAATTTTCATTATATTTCCACGTTTTAACATATTAGTAGCATGCTAGCCAATTTTTTTGATGATGTGTGTATGTACGTACGTACGTACGTATGTACGTACGTTCGTATGTCAGCATTTTTTTCGTTTTCGATTTTTTTCGTTTTCGATATCTCAAGAACGGATTGAGATATCGCCCTCAACCAAAATTTTTTCGAAAGATATTATCATAATGAAGATCTGAAAGAAATTTGAACGAAATCGGTCAAGCCGTTTTTTTTTTATAAAAAAAAAAACGAATTAATTACAAACAATTTAATTAAAATACGTTCTAATCTAATCACAACAATGAAGTTACGGAATCAATAATAACGAAATATCATTATTCAAGACAGGGAATAACATATTATAATAACATATTATAATAAAAATTTGTTTATAACAAAATGAATTGTTATAAACAATCGATAAACAATAAAAAATAGTATTTACCAATTGACTGATGCAAGTACTCTATCAATTCGGTTTTCTCAGACGAAATACTGTTTCTTATGGGTTTATAAAATGACGAACTCTCAAACATTGTTTGTTATTTATTATTGTGCCGCGTTTTTTTCAAACTTTAGAAACGAATGTACTTTACAATAACTGTATTATCTAATGGGAAGTTAGTCGTATTAGCACCGACCAAAATGTGCTCAGACCAATTTTT